GGGGGGCTGGTTTCTAACTCATAACTGAAAATTTAAAGTAAAACAATTTAGAATATCACTACAACATGAAAAGTAATAATAGGGACAACACCTTTACAATGAGAACTATAATAATTACTAAAAGAAATGAAATTTCTCAATGAATGATTGACAATATTCATAAATAAGAATACTCAATAATGTTAAGATTGGAATCTTCTAAAACTTAATTGTAGGTTCAAAACAATCCAAATTAAAATTTCAGTAGAATTTCAATTTAGAAATGACAAGCTAATAAAATGCAAAATAAAATGTACATACTATAGAAATGTAAAAATAACTTAAAAAGAGGGGGCTCACTCCACCCACTTAGAGACTTGAGCCTGACCTTGGCAGGCATCTTTTCATGAGTCCACCCTCAGGGCCTAGGAGTATCTTTGGAAGTTTCACCACTCTATCACCCAGTGCTCTAGTGGCCTGGGCTCACCCCACCCACCAGGAGAATTGAGCCTAACCTCAGCGGCCTCTTCTCCTGAGTCCACCCTCGGGCCCTGGAAGTATCTTTGGAATTACTGGCACACCATCTACTCACTGTGCTACTAGATCCTCTTCGTTAAGTTAGATCTCTTTAGCTTCCTCTTCACTAAGTTAGATCTCATTAGCTTGCTACCACCTCATCAAGAGCAGAATGTTTAGAAGAAGAGCCAAGCATCTGAAGTTACCCATAGCTGCTCTGGTCTAGGAGACACAGCCCTCCAGTAGGAACACACTTGGGAACTAAAGGCAAAATTTCCTCTTCCAATACTACAGAATTTACTCCAATAAATAGAAAAAAGGGGAATACTGCCTCTGATGACCAAAAACCAGCACTGATCCCAAAGAAATATGAGAAAACAAGGAGATAATTCTCTCCCAGGTAAGCACAGTAGCCCCTCACCAACAACGGATACCATAGAGGAATATAAAAATAGTCAGAAAAAGAATTCTGAATATTAACAGGTACAAAACTCAATGAGATGCAAGAGAAAACAGAAGACAATCAGGAAATGAGAAAATAATTTCAGGGCATGAAGGAGGAATTCCTTAAAAGAAAATCAAACAGAACTACTGGAAATTAAGAATGAAGTTCAAAAGAAATTAAAATCTCCCTAGAAAGTATTAACAACAGATTGGGCCATATAGAAGAAAGAATTTCTGACCTTAAAAACGAAGTTTCCAACATAGACCAAATTGCCAAAAAGAATGAAAAAACAACCAAAAAAAAAAAATGAGGACAACATATGGAAAATTCTAGACACCATGAAATGCCAGAGGCACAAAACAAGCCTTTACAAATTCAAATATATAGAAACTATATCCAGCATGTCTTCCAACCACGATGGAATCAAACTTGAAATCAACTACATAAAGCACCCTCAAAAATTCAGAAACACATGGAAACTAAAGGAGAAAAATCTGGTAAAGGCATGGAAAATCTCTTTCATGAAATATTACTTGAAAATTTTCTGAATGTAGAGAAACATGGAAAAATTCAGACATAAGAATGAAAAAGGACTCCAAATAGTATCAACACAAAAAAATCTTTCCACCAGCACATCATAGCCAGATTAGTAAAAAATAATGACAAAGACCATATTCTAAAAATGGTAAGGGAAAAATGTCAAGTTATTTATAAAGGTTATGGCATCAGACCCATGTCAGACTTTTCAACTGAAACAATGCAGGCAATGCATCAGACTAACGTCAGACTTTTCAACTGAAACAATGCAGGCAAGCAAAGAAGGAGAAGATGTATTTAAAACTTTAAAAGAAAGAAAAATAATTTCAACCAAGAATACCATATCTAGCAAAATTATCCTTCAATTGGGAAGAACAGATAAAAGTATTCTCAGGTAAACAAAAACTGAAAGAATTTACCAATATTAGATGAACTTTATAGGAACTGAGGGGAGTATTGCATCAGGATAACTAAAGGGAGACAGACAGAATTAAGAGAACAAAAAGAACTAAGACATTGGCTAAGAAAATGACAGGAATGAGTAAGCATATACCGATAATAACACTGAATGTTAATGGATTAAATTATCCTATTAAAAGACATGGACCGGTTGAATGTATATAAAAAACAGAAGGCATCTATATGCTGCTTCTAAGAAACACACCTCACTGATAAGAATATACATAGACTGAAAATGAAGGGCTGGAAAAAAGATATTCCATGCAAAAGGCTGGAGTAGCAATACTGCTATGAGACAAAATAGACTTTAAAATGAAAGACATAAGAGATAAAAAAAAGTACATTACATATACATGTAATGGACTTGTTCACCAAGAAGATATAACACCTGTAAATCTATGTGCCCAACATTGGAGCACCTAAATACAACAAAGAGAGACTGTTAGATCTCAAGGGAGAGATAGACTGCAAAACTATAATTGTAAGGTATCTTAACACCCCACTGTCTCCTTTGGACAGATCATCGAGAAAAAAAGAATAGACACAAAGATACAAGATACAAATGACACCATACATAAATTGGACTTGACAGGCATCTACAGATTTTTTTTCACCCAACTACGTCAAAATATAGATTTTTCTCACCCCCACATGGAACATTTTTGAAAATTGACCACATGATAGGGCACAAAATAAACCTTTAAAAATTCAAAAATACAGAAACTATATCCAGCATCTCTTCTAACAAGGATGGATTCAAACTTGAAATCAATTACAGAAAGAGCCCTCGAAAATTCATAAATAGAAACTAAACAACCTAGTCGTGAATGACTTTACGACTATAGAGGAAATTAAGACTGAAATCGAAAGGTTCATAGAAGCCAATGATAACAAACAAGTTTTTATAACCTATGGGATAAAAGTAGTGTTGAGAGGGAAGTTCATAGCAATTAGTGCCCATTTATATCTGTATTTACGTTATATTTTGTTAAAAATATTAATACGTACACATATATGGGTACATGTGTGTATACATGAGCATTTAACTCCAAGAATGAGGGCCATCCCCTTTTTTTAAAATTTGTTTTTATTATCATCATAATCTTCTTCAGATTACATTGGATTACATATAGCTTTACAGTGTATTACATTGCTTTTTCAAAAGGGAATGCATGGGCATGTCAGTCAATACAGAGACATTAATCTCCCCACTTCATTGCTCAGTATCTTTTCTATGTTTTTCTCAATCATTATTATTATTATTCTAATTTTTTTAACAGTTAGTCACTATTTCTCATTTTGCTTGTAAAAAGACTTTACCCATCACGAAATATTTCTCTGACCAATCCAGTTTAGAATACTATATATGTCATCATCAACAGGTAATGAGCCATATCTGTTTCTCACTAATGTCCTGTCTCTCTATTGTTCACTTGCTATCTTTCTCTATCCTCTTCTCTTCAACCCCCCCATTCCACACTGTCTTATTCTCATTAAGTACTTTCACTGCTTTTATGTCCTACCATATTTCACTCTCTACTATAGATTGCAGATAGTTGGTATATATTAAATGGATACATACAATATCTTTCTTTCATAGCCTGACTTAATTCACTCAGCAATAGATCCTCCCTATCTGACCACTTTCTATCAAATTCCAGGGTCTTTTTATTTTTTTTTTATTTATTTTTTTTTGAGAGATTTTCACTGTAGGGCGCGTGCGCTCGCCAGACAGACAGAGAGAGACATAGAGACAGAAAGCGAGAAATCACCCCCCAGAGGGGATGGTCACGCCGCAATCCCTTCTCCTCCATTCTCCTCTCGGGATCTTGGGCACGCACGCACACGCGCTCGGCGTGAGTTTTAAGCCACCGGGTCCAGGACACGAACCGCGGTCGACTACGTGGGAGTCCAGCGACACAGCCATTACGCTAACTGCTGGTTCCCTAGGGTCTTTTTATTTTTTATGGCAGAGTAGTATTCCATAGAGTATATATACCACACTTTTCTAATCCATTCATCAGTTTGTGGACATTTAGGTTGGTTCCATGTCTTGGCAATTGTGAATAATGCTGCAATAAACGTTGATGTGCAAGCACTTTTCTGACTGAGCGTCCTCCTGTCCTTTGGGTAGATACCCAGAAGTGGGATTGCTGGATCAAATGGTAGTTCTATTTGTATATCTTTGAGGAACCTCCATATTGTTCTCCACAGTGGTTGAACCAGTTTACATTCCCACCAACAGTGTAAGAGGCCCTTCTAATAATTATCTTTACTCATGATAGGTAAGATAATGATTTTTTTGTTTGTTGTGTGTGTGTGGTGATTTTTTTTTGGGGGGGGGTGGGGGAAGAGGCAGGTTCTCTCTCTATCATAATCCTCCTGCCTCAACCTCCTGAGTAGTTGGGAACACAAGTGTGTGCCACAGCGCCAAGCCCTGATAAGACAATATTTCGTTATTCAAGTTCCAATGATATATGTAGTATATAATTTTGAACACCTGTTCTCAAAGTTTATATTTTAAACTTTTCATCATCATTCAAAGATGCCCAATTTTATCTTATTTCCTATTGTGTATGTTTTAACCGTTATTGGAAATAATGATATACATCATATGATAGTGCATTACAAATGTAGCAGTCACTATTTTTTTCTCTCTTTTTCTTTTCTCTTTTTTGCTATAGGGTTCATGTGCTCACCAGAGAGAGAAAAAGAGAAAGGGAGGGGGAGTGAGAAATCACCCCACAGGGGAAAGACTCAGATTGTAAAGGTGGCCATGTGGGATCCAGCCCCGTAACCACTGTACCAACTGCTGGTCCCACTTTTTCAAAATTATGTAAGATATCTTAGTTTAGACTCAGAAGAAATATAGTAATGCTGATTTTTATATTATGAATAACTAGACAAAAATATAAAATATAAGAAATGTAAACACAAAATACACAATTTACCTACATTTCCAAGAATTCTCTTTGCATCTTTGTATTATTGTGTACTATTTCATCATGTTAAAAAAAAAAGGAGAGAAAATAAAACGAGTAAAGAAACAAATAGTTATGTATACCTCATGTTTTCAGCTGAATCTTCTGGCATTGGAGCGACCGTTTGTACAGCTGGAAGGTTTTTGCTGGTAGCACCATTCACAAAACTGGAAGAGGAGGAAGAGGAGGAGGACCCTGAATCCACGGCACCTGTTCCCAAAATAATAAATTTTAGCCTTAAACACAGATCTATGTAACAAATAATTTTAATTACATCATTACTATCTGATTTTGAAAGATTTATCTTAATTTCACAGAAGAATTTGACAATTAAAAATCATTTACCATTAGTATACTATAGCAATGCTTCATAATTTTAAATAATAGTGATTGCATTAAAATCCAGTTGATTCATGTTAATCTAACAAAATTACATATTACAGATGGGATATAAATAAAAGACATCAACAAATGAAAAAAATTTTAAGTAAAATGAAGCTGATAAAACAATGCAAATTTAGATGTGAAAATTTGTCTTTTTATTGCTTATAATATGTTTGTTTTTCATCATCTAAGACACAATTTATAATAAATTGAGCATAAATTTGTGGTTCTGTAGCATCAATTGCTCATTTTGACAAAATATTTGCTTAAGAAGAGCTAAAATGAGTATAATTGTACCTGATTTTAAAATAATGAGTTCTCCTCAACGATATGAAGATGCCATTTTAAAATAGATTTTTCTACAGTACTCAATGTAAGTATATTAAATAGTTGTGGAGTTGAGGGACATCTAGTGTTCCTTAATATTATATCTTACACTAATTCGCACAAAACTAAGTTGCATATCAGATTTCTATTTTAACATTTATACAGCACTTATGTGCCAACATTCAGACGATGCATCCAATTCAGTTGTTGGCCAACAATTTGTGTATATACACACATAGACACACATATATATATTTAATTCATATTTTTATAAATATGTATTTATCAAGCATTTATGTGTCAACATTTAAACTAGACAATGCATCCAGTTTAGCTGTTGGCCAATGATTAACTTATACACACACACACATTTGTATTTTTAAGGATAAAGTTTATAAGTTACATTTTTTTTATTCAACTATTATATATTTTTTACTATCCCTACACCTATTTCTACCATTTTATTCTATACCTACTGTTAATTCTTAAGACAGAAATTAAAAAAAGCTTCATGACTTGTTTCCTAAAAAGGGGTAATTTAATTGTACATTTACCTAACTCAAAAAAATAAGACTTTATTCAATAAATAATACTAAATGTAGATTTTTTTTTCCCTACCACACTGGCATATTTTAAAAGCTTTAACATTTGCTGGGTGTTACTTGTTTTAAAAAAAAGTTTAATTTTCCTATTTTGAGAATACTGAATAAATATAAATAAGAACATAATATATTGAAAAGAAAGACTTTAAAGTCTACAGATAAGCCAGATATAAATATTTATAATATAAATAAAGCAAAGATGTTATATTCTGCAATACAATGTCATTAAGTAAGTTTATTTGCTAATATAAATGCATTACAGTCTACTTACTACAACCCATAAATGTGTTGTTCATGATATGTCAGACTCAGGTGGTATGATAAACAAGGTAAGTACAGAAAGCACAAAGAAGAGCTACAAAATTAATAAAAATGGGAAGAATCTAAGTAATGATAATAAATGGAAAAGTTCAAGGCTATACAGTTTGGAGAAGAGAAGACTACTATAGTCAGGGAAGAAAACTCAGGGATCATCTTGCGTTGTATAAATACCTAAAATGGAATCACAAAGATTTGGGTAAGGATTTATTTAGCTAATAATCAACAGGAACAATTCTGGAAATTTACAAAAAAATAAAAATAAAAAAGATTATTTTAGACAGGCTTTTAAAATTTATAGTGATTTGGAATTTTTTGGAAATGAATTGATATAACTGCAACCTAAGTATATAAATTAATTTAATGTCAAACAACGGTTCTTATTCACATGCACTTTTTATCAGTTTGAGGCTCTTGCATATCGTCAAGGTTCTTAGGTGAGCTCTGCCTTCCCTTAGGGGACTTAGCAAAGAATGTACATTAGGATTGGAACAGTAAATGTAACCAAATCCATTTTCTGCCATTAACATTTTTTTGTATACCTTGATATTCTTGATACAATTTACTGATTGTTACAGAACAAACACCAAGGTTCCATCAATGATAATTGCATTTTTTTTTCTTTTTGCCCCAAATATTCTTCACGAATCTGATTTCATTCTGAAAATAAATAGCATGGTGTTTTGAGAAGACTCAAAACAAAAACCAACAGTATCCCCTAAAATGACTGCTAAAAATTTCTCTACAGACAAATTCTGAAAAGCTGGAACATAAAGTATAACCTTCTTAAAGAGTATCTTAAGTGATCAGAGTATTTTCATTGTTTTAAATCAAATAAGTAGAAAAATGAAGATATAGAAAACAGAAAGAAAAAGATGAGGTATCACAAAAATATATAAGGACAATACCTGTTGTATTAATCATACTTTTTGGTGTTGCTCCAGTAGCAGCAAATATATTAGAGGTGCTGCCTGTTGGCAGACCGCTTCCTGCAGTAGTGGCTCCCACAGTGGTTACAGCTAGACTACCTGGAGGTGGCTTCTTTACAGGCACCACAACACTCCTGCAAATAAATGATGGAAAATAACAAACATGAGGTTTTAGATAAATTCTAATCCTGCAATGGTAGATATACGTAGCCAACATTGAGCTTCTCAGTTTCTTTCCCTTCCTTCCTTCCTCCCTTCCTTTTTTGATGAAAAAAAGAAAAAATATTATGCTTCTGAGCCCAGCTTCATCATTGAAAAGGATATGGACATTAATGATATAATGTAAAGTGTGTTGAATATAATATTTCATTTGGAAATGTTTATATAAAATCTGGAGTTTGCAAACTTTTCTTAAAATGGTATGGACTATAATCATAAATTTAGAAATACTGGGAGTTTCTCAAATTAGCAAATTTCACATATGCATGTAGGATTTCTTGGCAAAATACACATAAAATGTCCATCCGAACCATATTATAGTCTCCATGTGCAAAATTCATTAAAATGTAAAAATATAAAAACCATTTGAAAGTCAAATTCTAGAGCTTCTTTATAGTAAAGCTAAGAATTAAAACAAAAGACTACAAATATATAAAGACATATTGAAATTTTATTTCGTTTTTCTAGACAAAATTAAGTTGTTTTCCATAGTAGGATTTTTTAAATTTTAATTTTATTCATTCATTTTATTTTAATTTGACCAGAGAGACAGAGAGAGAGAGAGAGAGAGAGAGAGAGCAAGCAAGCTGCCAGGTCCAGGACAGTCCACCGCTGTAACCACCATGCCACCTGCTGGTCCCAGTAGGATTTTTTAAAAAAATTTATCTCTTCCATAAATGGGAATGTGAGAGAGAAACAGAGAAACAGGCACTTGCAACCGGGTCCTGATGCTGCAAGCCTACTCCCAGCCTCAGCCAGCCAGGATCGCAGGCAGGCACACACCTGGGGTGCACATGGACACCTCGGGATGCAAACCCAGAACCTCATTGTGCCTCAGCATCATGAAGCACTGAGTTACCACTGAGACATGTGGCTGGCCAGAAATGTTATTATGAAAAAGAGAACTAAGAAGATTCAATAGACATTTGAGTGAAGATCTTTTTGGCTTTTGAGCCGTGACTTTTTGAATACAGAAGTTTGATAGTTTATTCCTATTTCTATTTCTTTAGCAATAAAAAAAAAAAAAAAAAAAAACCACCAGAGGGCGTGTATGCTTGCTGCGAGAGAGAAAGAAGGAAAGTGAGAAAGCACTTCTCATGGGGAATAGTCATGTCACAATCCCTTCTCTCCATTTCTTCCTCCTTTTGGGGATTCTGTCATGCTGCACACATACCTAATGTGTTTTCTTTTCTTTCCTTTTTAATTTATTTTTATTTGTTTTTTAATTTGACTAGAGAGGGACAGAGTGAAAGAGAGAGAGAGAGAGAGGGAAAGTGAGAAAGCAAGCCACCAGGTCCAGGACTTGAAACCCAGTTGGCCACATGGGAGTCCAGTGCCCTTAACCACTGTGCACCCTGCCAGCCCCATAAGATGTGTTTTCAAGCTGCCAGGTCCAGGACTTGAACTACGCAGTTGGCCTGGTGGGATCCAAATGCCTTAACACACCATGCAACTGACTGGTCCTCTTTAGCATTTTAAAATACATGTCATAAAAATAATAATAATAATTCTGGACTGGATTTTGTAATAAACTTAAAAAATAAATGTGAATATAAGTTAATTTTAAAATATGAATGAGCATTTGGCCCAGCCCATGGCTTGCTGGTTCTGGTGGCTAGGTTACCCACAGCTCACTGCTTGAACCCAGCAGCTTGAGAAACATGCTGGGTGCACGTGTATGCATGCCTAAAGTCCTGAAAGGAGAAAGAAATGTGAGAAGGGATTGCAGTGGGACCATCCCTCATGGAGGCTGCTTGTTTTTCACTTCCATCTCTCTCTTTCTGTCTGTCTCTCTTCTGGCAGGTGCATACAATCTCTGACTAGTTTAAAAGAAAAAAGTTTGTGTATGTGTGTGTATGAATAGGCCCAGCTGTGGTCACACAGTTGTACAACTCTCTGCAATGCTGGAAGCCATAGGGAAGATTTTGGATCAGTTCCCCAGTCGACTTGTACCTATCAGCCATGCCTTTATTTCTTGGCTTGCCAGAAAGGCTGGAGGAAGGGTTGTGGCTTGAGAACCAGCTGAGGTGCTTGTTTCTCCCTAACTCACTCTCATGAAATAAACTTTAAAAATAATACATATAGGCATAAAACTATTTTCTACCATGGTATCTGTATTTCCTTGCAGTGAAGCTTCATTCTTCTCAGTTTATAGGACTGTAAGCTTTATTTCATAAATATATTTCAAGCATTACTCAACCATCATTGAGTTTATTTTATCTAGAGAACAAATTTATGAGATGTTGAAAGTTCAAATGTAAGGCTTAAAAACTGGTGACTGATAATACAAAATATTGCACTTAAACTACAGATTTTTAATGCACCTATAGCTCATTATTTTTCCATTAAAAATCTGGCCCATTCTCATATGAATCTATGGCTTAAACTTCTTAAACTTCCTTAATACCAACATTTTTTTTCCCCAAAGAAACAAAAGTTTTTTAAACATCTTCAGTGACTACTTCAATGGTAAAAATAAAAATCTGTAATAACCATTATTAATTTTAGGAGTACTTAAAACTCTATTTTTGTCCAAAGGTATTGTAAGCTTAAATAAGTTTACTCATCTGCCCCTCTGGCTATGTCCTTCAAATCTTTTTCTAGAAACTTTCTTCTTTTATCTTTATGGATAGTGGGGTCAAATTCTTGAGACTCAACCTTGAACTCTCAACTATTTAATTATAGAAAGTGCACATTAAGCTTAATCCCTAAACTGGCAGGTTCTCATCAAATATCATCATTTATTTCATAGAGTGACAGTTAATGTAACTATTTGAAGAGAATACAGGATGTGGCTTGAAAACTGGATCACTCTTACGTTACATGATTTTAAATTTCAGTTTCTCATTGTAAGTGACAAGGGTAATGCTACCTATTTTATATATAAAAACAGAGATTAAGTGACACTGTACCAAAAAGGACTTTGTCAATTATGAGGAAACTTTTAAATATTAGTAATTGTTACCACTGACTAAATTGAAATAATTCTATGTTTACAGGATAGTTACAATGATCTATAGAAGGACTAGCAGAAAACCAGAGAAGATACTAATATTGTAAAATTCTAACACAATATGAAATGTACTATTTCACTGTTTCTCTAGCAAGAAACCATATTCATTAATCCTGGATTTTAAAAGAGTTCATCAGTGAAACTATAACATTTTTTTTTCTGTAGCTCTCAAAAATTTTTATGAATAAAATAAAAATAGACTGATTGATAATGCTGGAAACTAAGTATACAGATGGAAAAATATATATATTATCAAAGAGTCCTGATTAACAGATCATTGCTATCTTTAAGCAAAAACTCTTTTTAATAGATCACCAATGGTACCTTATCTAGTATAGAGACTGGAAAAATGAGTTATTTCATGAAAAATAAGTTACTAGAAAGAGAGAGACACTAAAAATCTCAAAATTCCATACTGACTATACATAAATAAAATGCAAATACATTAACACTTGTCTAATAAAAAAATTAAATAGAAACACAAAAAACTAAAAGCATCTGAATTAATGGAAAATGACGTGGAAGTCTCCGTACACTGACAGCAAACTCAGCAGAATCTGACAGTACGATGGAATATACATAAAGGAGCATAGTGACTGAAAGCCAAGTTTTTAGCATCGTACAGACCTGGGTTAGAATTCTACCTCCAAAAATTACTAGCTATGTGATACTGGGCATGTAAATAACTCTAAGCTTCAATCCCATGGTCTGTACCTTCTAAGACTGTGATAAAGATAAAAAGAAAGCCACATAAGTGCTTAGCACACTACTTGGAATACTGAAAATGGTCATTACATTTTATTTCTTACTAGGTATTGGCTCCCTAAAGGGCTGAGGTAGTCTGGGTCTACATCAACAATATTCAAAAAAAAAAAAAAAAAAAAAAGGCAATAACCTGGTATCTACTCTTCCACATAAGCAAATCCTATGTGTAGTTTTAGGAACCATATTTCAAGAACAGTGACAAATAGGGACCAGCAGTTAGCGTAATGGCTATATCACTAGACTCCCACGTAGTCAACCACGGTTCGCGGCCCGGACCTAGTGGCTTAAATTCACGCCGGGCGCATGTGAATGCGTGCCCAAGATCCCAAGAGGAGAATGGAGGAGAAGGGATTGTGGCGTGGCCATCCTCCCTGAGGGGGTAATTTCTCGCTTTCTGTCTCTGTGTCTCTCTCTCTCTGTCTAGCGAGCTCACGTGCCCTATAGCAAAAACCCCTCTCCAAAAAAAAAAAAAGAATAGTGACAAATAGTACCATGTCTGAAAGAGAACAGTCAGGATGACAGTAAATTTGGAAGACAAGTCATGAAAGAAAAAGCTGAAGAGGATTAGAAAATTATACTCAAGCAGTTCCAGAAAAATACAGCAATCTCTAAAAATCTGAAGGTATGTGATAAGAAAACAAGATGAAACTCCCATATATCTTAAAATACCAAATTTTGTCCAATCAGAGAAATAAATCTTTACTCAGATTTACGACCTCTAGTTTACAATCACAGGTGTGTTCAACTGATTAGAATGATGTCAGGGTTTTGTTGAGAGAAATGGCAAGCATGATTTCAATGATTTCTCAGATTCTTTTCTGAATCTACAACTTTATGAATTTGTTTTTTTGGGGGGGATTATTTTTTAAGAGAGATTTTGCTATAGGGCACATGCACTAGCCAGAGATACAGAGAGACAGAAAGTGAGAAATCCCCCAGAGGGGATGGCCACACTGCAATTCCTTCCCCTCCATTCTCCTCTCGGGATTTTGAGCATGGACGCACATGCGCTCGGTTTGGGTTTTAAGTCTCCATGTTCAGGACTCAAACTGCGGTCAACAATGTGGGAGTCCAGTGACATATCATTATGCCATCTGCTGGTCCCAACTTTAATAACTTGTAAAATCTATGTCCTCT